GGAGGAGGGGGAGGGAGGGGGGATTGGGGGGAGGGGGGTCGCCACAGCAGCAAAGGGCTCCCTGCAGTCAGTCTGCTTCTGGACCCCGTGGCGATCATACGTGTCCGTCCCGGCCTCCTCTTGTGCTTCACGGCGGTGGAATCTCTCTACGGCGATTCTTTCCGCATCTTTCTCCAATTGCCATTAACAATGGAATTTTTATGACACTTTGTTTTAATTGGTCTCTCATATAAAAGTCTGTCACGTATGTCTGCCGCTTGCACTATACTTTGAGTGTTTAACTAGCGTGGGGTGAAAATAATTACAGACTACCAAAAGTTGTTCGGTGTCTATTTGACACTGGTGTTTACCGAGAGATAATTGAGTGATTTAAAGATAATTACAATCTGTGGTGGTTGGTAGTGTCGCCGAAGCCTTGGATGGAAGCTGTGTGATCTGGAGCCGTAATGATGTGCAGATAACAGCTCCTTAATAGTGTGTTGCTTGCCCCTCAGTGTTACTTGACTCTTGTGTTGCTGGCCGATGTTGCTGTTGCTGCTGCTGCTGCTGCTGCGGCCGCTCCATCTCTCTCTCTGAATGAGATGCTTACACAAGAAAGGTAAATTTCTAAACCAGAAACATTTATTTTTATTTAATTTGGGCCTCGAATAGAAGGCGCAATCAACTGTATATATATCAACCGTATCCGTATCCATTTGTTCGTGTTCTCCTGACGGAGGTGGAGGGAACGCGATGCCATCAGGCACTCTCTGAAGAGATCAACACAGTGCTACACATTCCCTCAGCAAATGGCACTCCGACTGGCCGGGTAAGCTTCAGTATGGTCTAGCAGTAACCATCAAACGAACCTTTGTTTATTGCTACCCATTTGAGGCCCAGTCAATCCTTCTTTCTCCATGTATCTCTGCGTATTCATTGCCACATGAGAGACTTTGAAAAGTTATAACCAACCTGGAACTGCGTAGCTGAACCAGAGCAGCAAAACGACTGTTGTCTTTCCAGTGTATATTCCGAGTTAATTCTGATCCTGTAACGTATTGTTGGCACTCGAGTCCAGCTCTATAACGAAGACTTTGTGTACAGGGAGTGACGTCAGAGGTTACGTTACTAACGTATCAGTAAAGGAGAGAACATGTTCGTTTATTCTGTTTTACCTGCAGAGCGTTCTGTTCCACTGTGTTTGTGCGAGGGAGGCATGGAGAGGTGTGTGAGAGAGGCATGGAGAGGTGTGTGAGAGAGGCATGAATATGTGTGAGGGAGTCATGCAGGTCTCTAGTAAAAAAGCATGTATGCGTTTGGGAGAGGCATGTAGGAGTGTGAGACAGGCATGTAGGTGTAAGAGGAGGCAAATAGGTATGTGGGGAGGCATTTAGGCTTGTGGGGGAGGGAGGTGGGGAGAAAGGTCGGTGTGTGGAGGTTTGTAAGTGTGTATGTGGGGAATCCATGTAGCTGTGTGGGAGGTGATGCATGTAGGTGGGTAGGGAAAGCAAGAAGGGGAGCTGCAGTGGCACTTCAGTGGGTTGAAGGCAAAAAGGGAGGGGGTGTGGGGGGAGGTGACATGTCAGTAGATGAATGCGGAAATTAGAGTGCTAGTGATGAAAGGATGAGTGCAATACGAGTAACTCGAGTGGGTGCAGGTGGGAAGTTGAGGATTGATTTTTTGCTTCAGTGGTTGACAGTGTAAAGTTGGCGTTCATTTGTGCTTCAGTGGTTGACAGTGTAAAGTTGGCGTTCATTTGTGCTTCAGTGGTTGACAGTGTAAAGTTGGCGTTCATTTGTGCTTCAGTGGGTGACAGTGGAAAGTTGGCGTTCATTTGTTCTTCAGTGGGTGACAGTGGAAAGTTGGCGTTCATTTGTTCTTCAGTGGGTGACAGTGAAAAGTCGGAGTTCCAGTTTGCTTCAGTGGATGACAGTAAAAAGTTGGTGACTCGGTTTTGCATCTGGTTGGTGAACCTGCATAGAGGTTCAAGACATCATTTAATGTGTAACTGGGACTTGTGTGGTTCGGGTTATGAAAAGGCGGTTACAACAGTGATATAGAGGTGATCTGTACCATTCAGATACTGTAAAAGCTGTTCTCGTTTTAATACTGCATTCGCCACTACTAACGTGATGGTGCAAAAGCTGTTATTTTTTTTTGGAAAACAGATTATTTGGTAATGCAACAGCTACTCTTGGAGTAAGGCAACTGGTGAGTGTCAACACAATACATACCCACATAATACACATACAATACACAATATACAATACACAATACATAACACATGATGTAGTGGGAATACATACCTCTGGCTGGTATAAAAACTGTGATCAAGCAATTCTGTTAGAAATGGAGTGATTATAAATATTACTAAGCAGTTATGCAGTATAAATATAGACTGAGGATATTGGTTATAGACTGAAGTCTCTAGGAATGAAGAAGGGTTCACAGGGGAGAAAAACACAGTGTTTGCTGTTAAGAGCGTGAAATGTCTAGTGACGATATCTGGCATCGTGGCGGCAGATACGGATACAATCCCGGTAGATTGTTTCAAGGGCAATAGCAAGACCCAGGAAAGATTGTGATATTTTCGTAACAGAAAAATAATTATCTTTTTGATGATTGTAATTATGGTGATTTTAGTGAGCCATGTTAGTAAAGAAAAAAGTAAACAGTGGTGAATTCGTGGTATGATTACAGCATTGATATCTTGATAAGATTATAGTGGTTATATCTTAGTAAGAGTATAGTGATGATATCGTTGCAAGATTATCGTGGTAATATAGTGGAAAGATTACAGTTGTGATATTATGATAACATATTGTAGTTTAATTTTTTGTTATCGTATTATAGGAAGAACATAAATCAATTTTGTGTTATCGTATTATAGAAAGAACATAAATCAATTTGAGCGCGTACAGAGAAAGATTCAGAAGGATTTAGAATCCCTCCCCCCTAATGAAGTGAGATTAAACAAACAGTCTTAGAACAGGTGAAGAGTCAGGGGTGAAATGATTGAATTATTCAAATGAATGAAAGGGAATAACAGAGGGGAAATTAAGTTTTTTTTTTAATATAACAACACACAATAGATCAGGAAACAATGGAGATAAATTGGACAAGTTTAGATTCAGGAAAGACCTGGTTAAATACTGGTCTGAAAATAGGGGAAGTAGATTTAAGAACATAAGAATAAAGGTAACTGCAGATAGCCTATTGGCCCATACGAAGCAGCTCTTACTTAAAATCAACCAATCCCACAATTGGTTGGACAAATTTATTGGACAAATTTTTCTGTAGTAAGCCAGAATCGCTGGAGTCCTTCATGGATAGACAGGATTGGATAGACATATAAATTGGTTAGCCTTTGGCTATATCTAGAAGCTGCCACGCACGGATATATATCTTTTAAATAGATTACTCATATGTTCACATAACATATATAAAGGAAACTTTAGTGATATATTATTCCAAACAGCACTTTAATGGTGATCAATAGAAATTTAAGTGGCAATAGATAAATAATATTTAAGTGGAGATACAGATAAGATATAATTAGTGATATTCAGATAATATTTGACAGATGATAAACGTAGGATTCGATTGATGATTGAATGGGATTTGATGGATAACATATAATATTTGAGCGGCCAGAGTGTTCAAGCTTCGATTGCAAATACTGAACTTTGCAACATTAAAGGACGATAAACAGTGAGACGATATTCAGAAAATCAATAACACCTTAGTGACACGATAACGGAATAGTGCAAAGTTTTGCATCGCCATGCAATACAGCAATGCAATATAGCAGCTATATCTTTGAGATGATAGAGCAAAAGGAGGGAAAATAATGCTGTAATAAGGAAATGCAGCTAAAGGTTTGAGGCCGTGAGGAGGTGGAGAATGTGCCACAGTGATGCTGTAGAGACTATGCTACAGTGATGCTGCAGAGACTATGCTACAGTGATGCTGCAGAGACTATGCCACAGTGATGCTGCAGAGACTATGCTACAGTGATGCTGCAGAGACTATGCCACAGTGATGCTGCAGAGACTATGCTACGGTGATGCTGCAGAGACTATGCTACAGTGATGCTGTAGAGACTATGCTACAGTGATGCTGCAGAGACTATGCTGCAGAGACTATGCTACAGTGATGCTGCAGAGACTATGCTACAGTGATGCTGCAGAGACTATGCCACAGTGATGCTGCAGAGACTATGCCACAGTGATGCTGCAGAGACTATGCTACGGTGATGCTGCAGAGACTATGCCACAGTGATGCTGCAGAGACTATGCTACAGTGATGCTGCAGAGACTATGCCACAGTGATGCTGCAGAGACTATGCCACAGTGATGCTGCAGAGAAAATAACAATGGTGATATAGTGGTGGTAACACAGAGTTTAAGACATAGCTCTAGAATCAGAGCAGAGACCATGAGATCGGGGGAAGCACAGACACTACAGCAGCAGCACTGTAGCGGTACTGTAGAGGCACTGTAGAGACTGAGGCAGCGAAGAAGCCACGGTTATGGCACTCTGTGGAAACAGTGATTATACGGCCCTTGGTTAAGGCTTTGAGTGACGCAGTGAAAAAGAGTTGTAAAGAGTGAATGGCAAGTCTGTGGAAGCTTGATTGCATTATCATACAGTACTGTAGTTCTGATACAACGCTGAGTCTATAAAATCATTTGGCGTATAGGCCTAATAACGTAAAATATACTAATAAGTGATATTTATTAGTTCTCTTTTAATCTTACTCATAATTATCCCATTGTCCCAAAAAAATATTAAATATTAGATATATTATTTAATATTTAACTATACATCACTCAAAATTATTTTTCACATCATACATTTGTTCACATAATATGTAATTCCAAGTGTATTATATGATTAGGTAATCGGTCGTTTCATGTTCAACGATGTCCACTTGAAGAACTAATAAGCAACACTGCATACTTGACATTTATATTACAGGTGACGATTATCACAAGTGGATGTGGTACGAATTCTGTTTTCATGTTAAAGGGTTCTTGGGTTCAGCTGTGGAGGTGTTATCGGGTTCAACTGTGGTGTTCTTGGGGTCAGTTGTGGTGGTGTTCCTGGGGTCAGCTGTGGTGCTTTTGGGGTCAGCTGTGGTGTTTTTGGGGTCAGCTGTGGTGCTTTTGGGGTCAGTTGTGGTGGTGTTTAGGTCAGCAGTAGTGTTCCTGGGGGTCAGCTGCTGTCGTGTTGTCTTAGGACTCAGCTGCTGTCGTGTTGTCTTAGGACTCAGCTGCTGTCGTGTTGTCTTAGGACTCAGCTGCTGTCGTGTTGTCTTGGAAGTCAGCTGCTGTCGTGTTGTCTTAGGACTCAGCTGCTGTCGTGTTGTCTTAGGACTCAGCTGCTGTCGTGTTGTCTTAGGACTCAGCTGCTGTCGTGTTGTCTTAGGACTCAGCTGCTGTCGTGTTGTCTTAGGACTCAGCTGCTGTCGTGTTGTCTTAGGACTCAGCTGCTGTCGTGTTGTCTTAGGACTCAGCTGCTGTCGTGTTGTCTTAGGACTCAGCTGCTGTCGTGTTGTCTTAGGACTCAGCTGCTGTCGTGTTGTCTTAGGACTCAGCTGCTGTCGTGATGTCTTAGGACTCAGCTGCTGTCGTGTTTGTCTTAGGACTCAGCTGCTGTCGTGTTGTCTTAGGACTCAGCTGCTGTCGTGTTGTCTTAGGACTCAGCTGCTGTCGTGTTGTCTTAGGACTCAGCTGCTGTCGTGTTGTCTTAGGACTCAGCTGCTGTCGTGTTGTCTTAGGACTCAGCTGCTGTCGTGTTGTCTTAGGACTCAGCTGCTGTCGTGTTGTCTTGGGACTCAGCTGCTGTCGTGTTGTCTTAGGACTCAGCTGCTGTCGTGTTGTCTTAGGACTCAGGTGCTGTCGTGTTGTCTTAGGACTCAGCTGCTGTCGTGTTGTCTTAGGACTCAGCTGCTGTCGTGTTGTCTTAGGACTCAGCTGCTGTCGTGTTGTCTTAGGACTCAGCTGCTGTCACGTTGTCCTATCTGTTGGTTGTGGTGTTGTAGTTCTGGAGGTCGTCTGTTGTGAAGAAACAGCGGTAAGGTGTAAATTGAATGCCACGAATCAATTAATAATATAAATGTTGTATCATTGCAGTGTCATACTTGTGTACTGAACTGTTTGTGTTAACTTATTTGTGCTTCCGGGGGTTGAACTTCAGTTCTATGATCCCGCCCTGTCAACTAATAAATGAACTTGTGTAAAGATTGCTACTCCAGTTAGGCTCTATCATATTTACACTTGAATCTGCGTATAGAATTTGCCTTCACCACCTAATTTTAGTGCATTCCATTGAGAACCAAATCTTTTTAGTGCGTTTATGAGGTCAGAAAACCCAAACACGAAGGATAACAGGATGCCAGGATGATTATAAAGTGCCAATACATCTCTGACACTTGGTGTCAAGCGTCGTCGAGCGAACACTGTGTGGCAGTTGTTACACAGGTGCCAATATTAAGGCATGGTAATGGAAGGTGCAGCAAGGCCACTGCTCCTGTGATGACCCTGGGACGAGTCAATAATGGGGATTACCGCCCCACCACCTTCTCGCGCTTGCGGCTCCTATAGCTATTCCTCGTACCGTTAGTGGCGACTGCCAATCGTATGTAAATAGACGAGATTTAACTGGTTAGCTCACACTATCGACTTTGGATATGATAAAGCTTCAGATTCCTCTAGCCAATATTGGAAATTGTAGCCGACTGGGGAATTCAGTGATAAACAGGATTTATTATTTTGGTTACCTCTTTTACGTGGTCTTGTTCTACAAGGTTGAACTATATTTATTCTAATTAAAAATATTTTAGTGACTTTATCAACAAATTATACGTACAGAGTTTTTAGACACCGTGTGGTATATATATATATATATATATATATATATATATATATATATATATATATATATATATATATATATATATATATATATATAAAGACTCATCGATGCTTTATTAAAATATTAGAAGTTATTAATATTAGAAGTTATCAACTTATTTGATATATCGAATTATTATCTACAACAAATTACAGTGTCACTTTAATTTCTCGCACTGACATCACTGAAGTCAGCGGAGGAAGTCACCTCTGTGTCTTGTATGACTGACGATGTTCTTATCTGTGAACCCTTCCAGAAATGTCAGGTAAATATTATTTCCGTGAACATTTCCTTAATCTGAGCCAAAATGCTACATTTTAAATGGCATATGTAACCTAAAGTTGAATTGAATTTAAATTACTAATTTTCATTGTTACTCATCTTTTGGAACTATTTGACCTTGGATTAGTGTTTTGGATTTTTTGTTTATAGGCTACCTAGTAAAGGCTACCTAGGCAGTAAATAGGTACTTGGGAGTTAGTCAGCTGTCACAGGTTGCTTCCTGGGGGTGGAGGCCTGGTCGAGGACCGAGCCGCGGGGACACTAAGCCCCGAAATCATCTCAAGATAACCCCCATGGCCCGGCCTCTGGTCGGGCCATGGAGGTTGACTTAGGGGTAGACTTGGGGGTAGACTTGGGGGTAGACTCTGGGGTAGACTTGGCCTACTGGTTGGTGGTCTGGTTTACCAGGCTGTTGGACGCAGCTGCTCACAGCCTGACAAATGAATCACAGCCAGGTTGATCAGGTATCCTTCACAGGTGTTTAATAAGTTCTCTATTGAACGCCGCGAGAAGTCGCCAAGTTATACCAATTATGTGTTGAGAATGTGTTGAACAACCTTAGTCTCTTGACGTTGATAGAGTCCTCTATTAATGCATCTATTGCACTTCAACTTTTCTTTGGGAATATTTTGCACATCCTGCCATGCCTCCTGGTGTCATATGAAATTATTTCCTTATGCACATTCGTAACCAGTCTCAATAATACTTTCGAAATGTAATATTTTTATTATGTATCTGTTAATATTACAATTATAAGGGATCTCAATAATATAGATACGTAATAAACTATTTAACAAATTAAGCAAATAAACTAATTAACAAATTAAGCAAATAAACTAATTATCAAATTAAGCAAATAAACTAATTAGGAAATTAAGCAAATAAGCTAATTAACAAATTAAGCAAATAAACCAATTAACAAATTCAGCAAAAACTAATTAACAATTTAAGCAAATAAACTAATTATCAAATTAAGCAAATCAATTAATTAACAAATTAAGCAAATAAACTAATTAACAAATTAAGCAACTAATTTACAGCTTAATTTAATAGCCTTTATCGGGTAATGGGAGGAATACCCGGTAGTACTCGGGAAAGTCTGTCTCAGATACTCCTTCTTATTTTTCCCCTCTTCCCTTATCTTACTCCCTCCCTTTCTCTTCCCCCTTCTTCCCTTTCTTCTCCCCCATTTTCCCTTCTCCCAACATTCCGGCTCTCCTCCTCACCCCATTTTCATTGCTCGTTCAATAATTTGACAGAAAACCTCTCAACTATTTGCTATTATATTGTTAATAAGCCTGAGAATCATAGCTTGGATGAATCATAGATAATAATACTCATGCAGATATACCTCTCACGAACGTGTCATTAAAGAAGAGGATAAGGAATAACAATAACTGAGAAAGAGGGGAAGATGAGAAAGATGAGAGGCTGAGAAACATGGGAGGATGATTGAGACGGTGGGATGGTAGATAAAGGTAGATGAAGATGGTAGGATGATATAATGTATCATCTTTATACGACTTATGTAAGGCTGCAATGATGGAGATCAGATACATTTTCCTTCCTCTGTTCTTTTTCCTTCTCCTCGTGTCCTCCATCCCTCTCCACTCCCACTATTATTTCCTTTCTCATTTCTTCCTTACCTCTTCCTCTCCAGTCTCATGTTTACCTTACCTCCTTCCCATTCTTTTTACTTTTCCCTCTCATATATATGTCTCTTTTCCTCTCCCCTTTCACTTTCATTCGTCTCATCCCTTACCTTTTTGATGTCTCTTTACATCTCCTTTCTCTCACTTTTTCTTTACCCCTCCTACTCCCATTCTTCTCATCGTTCTCCTCTTTCATGTGTACGTTACCATTCCATTTCTACTGTCCTCTCGTCCCTCTCTGATACCTTCCTTACCTCTCTTTCCCCCTCTCCCCTTTCCTGGTGTTGTGCCTTCCTGTGCTGGGACGGGCAAGCTATCTGTGTCGACGCCTTTGACACAGTGATCACCTCTGTGAATCTAATGGCGAATGATGTCTATCTACCTCGCTTGGATGGCCAGAGCAACTGGCCTAGAGCAGAGTACTGATGGACGGTGGCAAGCGGTTTGAAGTTGCTACCGTCGACAGTGCTGCTGCTGTTGCTGTTGCTGTTTATCCTTCTGCTGCTGCTGTTACCACTACTGCTACCCCTTCTGCTGCTGCTGCTTCTGTTGCTGATTCTGCTGCAGTGGCTGATGGTTTTGTTACTGCTGCTCTGACTGTCCAGTTTATGGTAGAGATGAGGACCAGCCGGGTATTTTTGGCCTGTGAAATAATTATGGGCCACTTGAATAGCAATTTTTGCAGGACCCTGGTTCGGGGCTACGGTCACCGCTGCATGGAGCAGTGGGTGAAGTCAGACCAAGAACATTTGTGATATCATCAAGGGATATCAGCCCAAAATTCGACCGTCATCATGAACAGAGAGTAGTGCATGATAATCCTTTGGAAAATAACACTTTTAAACTATAATCTTAAAGAATATAAGCAGCGTGGAAATTAACTGAAAGCCATTCAACAAGTAATCGTCTCCAAGATAGGAACGAGATAGCGTTTAAACATTCTGTCTGCACACTGGATGTTTACATTCCATGTTTGATCTCACATATAACCATCGGGGCGGTTTAATCATGATTTAGCTGCTTGTTAAGGGGATCAAGACAACAAGCTATACCCTTCACTGAAAGGATTTTGCACTCATCGAGTTGGCACACTAGTTGGAACTTTGTCAGGCTCTCGCTACTGCAGTTTGTGGACGACATAGAAACGTGTGGATTAAATTGATAAAACCACCCAAACTTTTTGGAGAGTATGGGATCTGGTAGTCAGCATTTTTTGTAATAGTGTGAACTCAATGGTCGTTAAACTATTTTCGTATAAGCCATAAGAGAGTCATATATCTATATTATATATTTAGATGAATTAAGTCATCTAAATGACTTAATTATGATAAATGTATTTGCGACGAACAGACTGAATTTGTGGTTGTGTGTGTTTAAAACTGTTTATCCAACTGGCCAGTGTTTGAGAATGACACTGTTTATATGTGTCTTTAGTATCATTAATTGGCCCCAGTGAGTTATTTGCGTAGTGATTATTGATAAACATTTGCCGTGTTGTGAGCCTATTATCATTACTGATAATATATTGCTTATGTGCTATGTGGCGGAGCACCACAATTTATAATTTATGTGCCGTAGTACAATTGTGATCGTTATATTTGACTTGTGATATCAAGGTGAAAGTGAGTGCTTCAGGACATTCCAATGAGCACCTTTGATTAATTAATGATTATTTGTTTTTTTTTAATATAAGTTGGAGGTAGTAATCATGTACATAAATGACATCTTAGTTATGTTCAGTTTACTCTACACGATGCGAATCTTACTGGTGTCTTGATACTGATATTAGGAAAACCTAAGAAAAATATGCATATCAAAATTCTCTCTGATGAATGGTACTCGTGTGAATTCATTTATAGCAAGCACATTCCTCCCGTGTGAGGAATATTTCTATATAGTTTAAGTGTTGGAAAGGTTATTTCCAGGGTTATTGTGGTTAGCAATTTGTATGACTGGAAGGTAGATCTCCTACACACCTCCATACTCAGGTGGCACCCAGGGAAGGCTTAAAGTCCCAATTGAATACTACCAGCTATGTCTGGCGTTTCTTCCTTATTGTGGGTGCTCAGTTGCTAGGTTGGTTGGATTTCGAGCTTACTTTTTTGAGGTCCCGGGTTGGAGACTCAAATGATCCAAGTGAATGAAATGCCTCATTAGAGTATGGTAAATATGATTGTAGTAATATAATCTGATAATACTACTGAACGCTGGAGATTGGTGAATGAGCTCATAAGAAAGGGGAATAATCTCTGTTTCACTAAAACAGATGGACGTGAAGAGAAGGAAATGTTTAAAGTAAATCTTTTATTAAAGAAAAATAAGGGGCATAGCAACCAGGTAATAGCATTAACCCATACAAAGATAACTAAATCATAATAGCTGTATTTAACGACGACGGGGTGTGTCGCAGGAATATATATATATATATATATATATATATATATATATATATATATATATATATATATATATATATATATATATATATATATATATATATATATATATATATATATATATATATACACACCTCTGGTTATAATGTGTGAGGACTTTTTTTCTCGAAGAACATATACATATTTAGATGTATACATTTCACTTGAACCCTCGAATCGCAGACGAAAAAAGTATAGCCCATACCTTTACCTACTGAGCTACCAGCACACGATATAGAGAAGAATCCCAGAGACACTCACCTGGTGTTCATATGGAACTTTAGCCCTTCGCTGGTGCCACTTCGGCAAGGTGTTAGGTGTCATTTGTTTGACTAGGACGTGGTTGACCTAACACCTTGATGCCAAAGTGGCATCTCAGGGAAGGTCTTAAATACCAGTTGGACACTAGATAGGTGTCTCTGGGACCTTTCCTTATTGTGGGTGCTGGTGGCTCAGTTGGTAGGACTGCTACTTTCGTGGTAGCGGCTCGAGGCACCAGGAGTACAAGTGATTGAAATATATGCATTCGTACATGTATATATATTTAACCTAAATACAAGGAAACATATTCGTGACTGAGCTATTGGTCTACTTTCACATAATAAATCTCTGTGCGTGTCACGAATCCACTTCCTTATTTCTTAAACAGGCGCTCTGACCGTCTTCCCCCCCCCCCCCCACAACACTTAGCAACCACTCTGCGTCCCATTTATGGCCTTTTTATTTTTCGTAAGAAATCGTCTTCCAAATGCATTCCGAGCTTTCAGCGCCATTTGGGGCAAAAGATATGCGAATGTATTCCAAAATCTTGGTACGAATTTGTGAAGGAAATTATTGCCGGTGGTCTGAGGAATGTGCGTTACTCTGTGATTGCTTGTGTTTTGACGCTCGCTGAGGCATATATATATATATATATATATATATATATATATATATATATATATATATATATATATATATAATATATATATATATATATATATATGAAGCCTCTCTGAAGTGTCATTTGTGTTGTAATAAAGGGAGCATTTAAAGGTTTTCTCGCTGTTTCGTCGCGCGTTGAACCCTTCTCCCACCCCCAAAAAAAAAAAACTACTAATAAAAATATTTAGGTGACTCCTCTTGTGTAGATAAGAACCCCGTTTATGGACCCCATTTGAGTGTGTGTTAAGAACCCCATTTGTGTGTGTAGATCTGGACCCCGTGTGTATGTAACTGATAGGGACTCCTTACCTATAGAACACATAGACCACGTGCATGTAGGTTATAGAGTAGGTGTGTGGATGCGTGTGTGCTTGAAGCAGATGTCGTGTGTGTGTGAATCTTTCTCGTTACATTGCCTATGGTTGCAATATCAATATCCATGCACACGCAGGCCCTGACCGAGGCACGACATGTGCGTTTGGGCTGCTGTTGATGGATGTTATGGCCAGACAAGCGTGAACATTGTGTCCGTGACATTGGGGCCAGGTTACAATGGCATAACTCTTGTTTTCAAACTAGCGTGACAGTGGTAACCCCAACATTGCACCGGATTATATGACCCTGCGTTGGTTCCGAGGATCAACGTTTCCACGGCCCGGTCACTGAATGATCAGGCCACCTGCTTGGTCTGGTCTGGTTTTCCAAAGCTGTTAGACTTGGTTGCTCACAACAGTCTGGCGTTTGCACGTACACATACACACATATATTGGCATTATGCAACAACGATCACCAGAAAACACTGTTCCAAGTATGTGGAAAAACCACATGTGAAAAATAGAGAATACTAAACGCGTTTTCGGCTTAATTCGCCTTCATCAGAGCAAAGCAGAATGAAGGATTATTGACATTATTTTGCATTCGTTACTTGCTGAAATCGTGGTACTGTGTTGGAGAACCGGGCAGCACCAGTGGTTCCATTAGACTACTGAAAATGATTTATGACCCGTGATTACTGAAAATCGACTCCTGTACCTTGTTAATTCTAATCATTTGCAACCAACTCTAGACTATACAGCGTCGCCACCAAGGTCGTGCTGCAACTGCCAGTCAATTATACATGTGTTGTTTGGGTTGCAGGACATGGCAATTGACTTGCACATGATGAATAATGAGACAGGAAATGTCGTGTTAACTTTACTACTTCACTGAATTGTATAATAGCACTGGTGACCGCTATAGTTACAGGTGTGTCAGGGGTGACCGCTATAGTTACAGGTGTGTCAAGGGTGACTGGTATAGTTACAGGTGTGTCAGTGGTGACTGGTATAGTTACAGGTGTGTCAGGGGTGACTGGTATAGTTACAGGTGTGTCAGTGGTGACTGGTATAGTTACAGGTGTGTCAGGGGTGACTGGTATAGTTACAGGTGTGTCAGTGGTGACTGGTATAATTACAGGTGTGTCAGTGGTGACTGATATAGTTACAGGTGTGTCAGTTGTGACTGGTATAGTTACAGGTGTGTCAGTGATTAAAATGATGACGAAAATGAACCTGGTACAAAAATGGTGACGTACTAGGCTCAATGGTACTGCACCTGATACGAATCGCGAGCTGTAACAGAATATAGTGGCATCAGTGTAGTGACAGCGTTAACCACAGTATAGTAACTGCGGTGAGAACCTCATAGTGATGTTATATTTTCAGACCAATGGCTTCCAGTGTCACAGTGCTTCCACTATAGTGACGGTGGAAGCATTATAGTGAATGACACGAACACTCACAGTAGGGACAACGGTTCAGTGGTACTCGTGACGGCTTCATTGTCCCGCGTCACTCAACTTTGGCATTAAAAATAAGGACTTTCAAATTGTGTTTGATATACGACTCACTTCACACTCTTCACTGGTTTAAATATTTCTGTTAGTGCGTGTGAGTGTTAGGACATTACGGGGCTATTCATGCCCTTGCCACCTCTTGGATGGCTTAATCTTCTTCAATCAATCAATCGTGCGAGTGCCAGTGTGTGTGAACGCACTCGCTTAACTATATGCTCAAGGAGGTCCAGGTTTAGAGGTGTTCTTTTCTTGGGTGGAAATTCCACATCGGGTCCATGCATTCTGATGCTGTTCTAAAACTGGTGGTGAATCAATCATGTCCTGAAAGGTTCTTTGTTCACGTTGGTAAAGGTTTTAAAATGTTCTGAAGCTCTGTAAATGACGTTAAAATTGTGATATGAATGTGTTCGTCAGGTAATATTTTTTTTTATTAAATTTACACCTAAAATTGTCCTCCTGTTTACTCTCAAGCACGTGTGAGCCTTCCTCCTCCTCCTCTTCATTTTCTTGTACTTACTCTGAGGTATCCTCTACGATTTCATTGCCTAGCACTTGTTTGGTTTCATTTCAAATAGCCAATTTTTTAGACCAACTGCCTAGTTTGTCCTCCTGCTGTATTTTAACAATTATCCTCTGTTCTAAATCACTTGACCAGTTTTATTTTTTTCGTTCTCGAAACATTTTTATGTGGGATCCTAATTCTTCAGTTTTATTACTGATTTAATTCAGAAACAGCTTTAGCAATAATACTGGTCTAAGTTGAACCCCCCGCACGCTCTGGTCTCTCCATTTGCATATCCTCTTATATTAATTTATGATATTAATTATCTGAGTTGATGGATTTTCCTGCCCCTAGTACAATACTCAGTTCCCATTTCACAGCAGGAGACATTTATGAAAATGAAAAGCCACAGACACGATAAAGCACCCAAATTATTGGGAACATCTCAATGCTCTCAAAATGGAAGGGAGACGAGGAAGGTATCACATTCCATATACTTGGATGATATAGGAAGACAGGTACCGAATTTACTCAACAACATACTGAAGTGAACAGTACAGTAGGTAATGCATCATAGACCTACTGAATAAGAGCCACAAGCACAATCAGAGAACACTGAATATCAGAGGCCCACAGCTATGAAATATCTTCTCAGCTAACATAAGAAATATTGTCGGAACCATAGTGGACGTGTTCAAGGGTAAATTAGAGTCATTTCTGGAAGAAGTGACAGACCAAAGCGGTTGTAAAGGGCATGTGGGCCTGCTGGTTTCTGCAAGCAACAGCCTGTTGGACCAAGTTATCACATCATGCCTGGCCCCAGGCCAGACTTGGGGAGGAGAAAAATTCCACGAACTCACTCTATGTATACTCCGGGAATATTCCTAGTATATTCGTGTCAACTCCCTAGCAGCAATATACACCAAGATTCACCAAGCATTTACGTGATCACTTACACGACCTCTTACCTCGAGCATGGCGACTTAGTCTTTATTACACAGTTTACGAGTTCCGGAGAGCTACTAGGTCGTCCTCAACCCATAATCAATTATTATGAACGACCTCATGGTGCTTCAGAGCTCGCAAACTGTTTAATGAATACAGACTAAGCTGTCAAGATCTATGTGAGAGGTTAAGGTCTCGTTTGTGGACACGAAATCACTTTGTGAATCCTTGGCTTTGTCTTATGAAGCAGTGGACGTTAACGACGCAACGTGGACGCAACGACGCAACGTGGACGCAGTGACGCAACGTGGGCGTAGTACGCCAAGTGTCTATGATGTATTATCATATAGTATATATATTATATATATCTATATATATATATAGTATATATATCTAATATTTTATAATATATACCTATCTATTATATATATATATATATATACATATTATAGAATGACTATTTTTTTTAATATAATCATATTCAATTTCTTAGTTTCGTTTTAGGTTAGGTAGGTTGGGTAGGTTCGGATCTTTAGCTTTATCGCCCTGGTTGATGCCTCTCAGTACAATATATATATATATATATATATATATATATATATATATATATATATATATATATATATATATATATATATATATATATATATATATATATATAGTCAGCAAAGGCAATATGTATGTCATTAAACTCAATTAACACAACAATAAATATACAATTTGTGAAAAGGGAGACGTTCCAATTTGACTAACAGATTTTTTTTTTTGGCCAAAAGACAGGTAAGAATTTTGCAAACAGGAAACATGCATGAATGTGGAAATTGAATTTGAGAGTGAAAGAAACTGAAAAAAAATCCACTATCTCTAATTTGGAAATGAGAGATGGCTTTTATATTCAGAGACGGAGATTGGAGCGACTTTTCAAGACGATATGTAGGTAAGACGCTTGCAATAATTTATGATATTTGCTGTTGCAAAGCTCACCTCCGTTTCATAAATTTAAAACAGACCATCAGTTTAAAATGCAAAGTTGACAGTTTAACTTCCTAATAGATAATTCTTGAATATGATGAGCAAACTAAGTTCATATGTATTTTTAACAAGGGATAAGCTGATTATAATTAATTGGACAATATAAACTGTAAAATCTGCATTTTGCATGCAAGACACAATGAAGATAATGGTAATGGTACATTCTTGAGCCCAACAGAGACAGTGAACCCTGTCTATCCCTGTCAGTGTCTATCCCTGTCAGTGTCTATCCCTGAAAGATAAACAGCTGGTGAGTGTTCACAAGTGTATCATCCCTGGCTGATAAATCTATTTATTTCAATATAGACTAAACAGGTGGCGAACCTGCATCAATGAAGAACGTAGGTCCACTAGATATAAAGTATTGGCCATCAGTTCACATGGCCAATGTACACATCACTCTACACTGGCCATGTGTACTATCCATATCATCAGAGTCCCCTTGACCTCAAGGGAAGGTGTGCCATGGGATTTCCTCATAGAGTGGAGTTTAACACTGATAGACAAGAGACCAGTAGGTTGGTAGTTTCCTTCATAGGCGCCTTACCAAGGCGATTCAGAGAGGAAGCATTTGCTGCGACCACGAATCTTAAATACTCGAAAAGACTGACAGCTTTTGACTTAAATATCCTCTAACTCAGATGATCAACTTCCGATAGTAGATAATTGAATTAAAAGCATTCCAAAAGAGATATATTGTATTATTTTAAGAGACAGAAAAATGACAGAGACATTAATGTCTTTATGTGCTAAATCTATTAAGCGTTGGGATCCATTAGTGTGTTGGTGGAGAGCCCATGGTTCCCTGATGGCCCAGTGTGCATAATTGACGTCGTTATTAGAGAACAATTTGCGTGCATCGATCCCTTTAACGGCGTGGACACTCAGTGATAACAACAAGCTATCTCTTTATTATTTTAGTGTGTGTGTGTGTGTGTGTGTGTGTGTGTGTGTGTGTGTGTGTGTGTGTGTGTGTGTGTGTGTGTGTGTGTGTGTGTGTGAGTGTTGTGTATTTGCGTGTGTTGAGTATGTGTGTGTGGCTGCTGTGTTTGTGTATGTTGAGTATTTATGTGTGTGTGAGGTGAGAATGTGTGTGTGTGTGGGTGCTTTGTATGCTTGTGGGTGTTGATTTGTGTGTGAATACTTTGTATTGACATAATTCCTCCGAAGGTGTGTTTTGTGTATGTTTGTGTGTATTGTGTATGTGTGTGTGTGGGCGCTGACTTCGTGTGTAATTGTCATGTTTGTTTCCCGATGTTTTGCATTTTGGTGTGTGTGTTGTATATGTGAGTATGCTGTGCATGTGCATGGGTGAATTCTATGTATGCACGCTGGGGTCTTTGTGATGTACTTGATGAATGAGTTCTTGGTTGGTATGTTTGTATGTCTGGTGGTCGCAGTGGTGTGTTTGTGTGAATGTGTGTTGTGGGTGGACATTAATTTTGTTGTTTAGTTTACGAGCAAGATCGGATATCTCCTGAGCCCTCATAGCCACCAATATGAAAATCTTATGCAATTTTACTCGTAATGTTTCTGTATTTTACTGTCTGAAGCACTGCTGTATTTATTTCAACTTCCAATTAAATTCCCCAGACTACAATGTCCTATTGCTGTATCTCCCTTCCTATGTGCTCATGTACCACTTTGATCCTCACTTTGTGAGTGCTGGCTGTGTTCTGGAATTTGGGAAGGGATGGTTTGAGTAAAGGGTGGGCAGTGTGGAGGACGAGGGTGGTGAGTAATGATTTAGTGCCAAATTGCTGTGAGAATGGTTATGATAGTCAAGGTTGATCCACCCTTGTGATTTCTCTCCTCTCTTCTTGGTCTCTTAAATTCATTGTTATTTCATTTATTCTATTTAGTGACCCAGTTTATATATATATATATATATATATATATATATATATATATATATATATATATATATATATATATATATACCACATCATTTGGGTAGTCAGCTTCCACCTGTCCTGTTCAACTAGTTGTTTCTGAGGGGGGTTGAGCTTCGGCTCTTTGGTCCCTCATCTTAACTGTCAATCAACTGGAGTACAGATTCCTGTTTCTATTGGACTCTATCATATCTACATTTCAAACTGAGCATAGAATCTGCCTCCACCACATCACTTCCTAGAGCATCCCATTTGTTAACGACTGTGTGTATATATATATGTGTGTGTGTGTGTGTGTGTGTGTGTGTGTGTGTGTTTTATGGTAACATTTGACGACATCTAGTATGGTGATTGAGTGAGCAGCAGATCTGAATAGATTTCTCATTATCCGTTCATTCACAACCACCGAAGTATATGAATCATCACATCCTTAACTTTAATACATACTCTTGTACACACTACACAATCAATCGCAGCTCACCAAATGGTCTGTTTGTTGTGATGAAGTGTGTTCGTTTGGGTATTGTTAATGAGTTGTTGTGAAGCGTTCGTATAGATTTGGCAGCGTTCACCTACATGGATGATTGTTTTGTCGCGTGTATTTATGATAATCTTGTTGCACAAGAACAATTACACATTTGTGATTGTGTGTAGAAGTGAGGGTACATTGCGGTTAGTTTGCGTTGGTTTCCGGGGATCATCTTCCTCACAGCCTGGTCTCTGAATAGGCCTCCTGGTTGGTGATGCGGTCAACCAGGCTGTTGGACGCGGCTGTTCGTTGCCTGTTGGCACTTTAGCTGTGTTGTGGTACTGCTGTTGTGTGATAATGCGAAAAAACACATTCTTGAAATTTGCAACTCTGTGAATTTCTTCCATTTTTATCATAGATAGTTATATTATAAATGTCAGA